ATCAAAAACAGGGGTAAACGCCTCATTCATTGAAAAAAATAGGGCAAAAAACAACAACCCTAAAATGTAGGCAAAAAACAACAACCCTAAAATGTAGGGTAAAATCGGTATTGGACATCAAAGTAGGGGTACAATTGTACAAACAAAATTGTCCCTTTCTCTGTTCTCCCTCGGTCCAATGCAACCTATATATGTCTTGTGAGGGCTACTTTGAAACGAAGATTGAGGGATGAATAGGAAAAACTAGAATTCTCACAAAAAATCAAGCGCAAAACAAAGAATTATAAAACACATAAAAATATATGAAATAATCGTTTGATTGGACCGTACGAAAAATGCAAGAATTAGATGAGAGAGATAAACTCATAAGAGACTTCGCATGATATTGAACCTCATGTTAAAAATACTCCAAAACTTGTATGAATTGGGGCATTCCTTAGAAATTTGATAAGACTCAATAGTTTTCAATAATCCTTTGGTTCAAAGAATCATATAGAAAAATTTCCTATAGCAAAGTTTATCGTTTCTATACAGAATAAAAGTTCATATATTTTTCTTTCAAGTAAAGGGACCCTAATTAGTTACTCCACTAAAGTCGAATGAGCTGGGTTCACTTTACCATGCGTGGCGAAGCCACGTGGTTTTTCTAGTTTTTCTAGTGAATACCGTATTCCTCGTTTGGTGCGGTCTGTAATACAAATAGCTTTAGAACTTTAATTACTACCTCATAGTGTTTTGTATATGTTTAGTTGTTGGCTTTTCGGACTAACAATTGATATGAAACCTTACGATCTATTAGGAACGGCCATTTATTATGGCTATGCTGAACGACATGGTATTTGACAAAAAAAAAAGTTGGGTTGATGGGATTTGGTTGCTATGGCATGTCAACATTTGGAGCGGATGGTCAAAGAATGTTTTACATAGAGCATAAATGTAACACTCCGGGTATCTTTTACCTATAATGCTACACACTACGGAACAAAAACCACTAAGTTCTAAATTCATTAAAATTTTGACAGTCTCCCCTGTAAATATGGACATCCACGACAGGCAGTTACATATTAAATAATTAATAATATCATTCCCACAGTACGATCCATCCTTATAATCCACAGAAAGAAACAAATAGATATCTGAAAGATTATTATAATACCAAACGAGGATATAGTTTAAATGTCATTATAGACCTAAGCAATATAGTTTGATAGTGTGCAGATAAATGTGTATATAAGGGTGCTACTTCCCGCCCAAGCATGCCCATCTCAATGTGTATCTAAAACCAAATAAACACAAAAGTGAGTACATAAATACTCAGCAAGTACAATATAACACATACACATATTGGAAATAAAGAATGAGCAGAAAGTTTTCTTTCTTTGAAAAAGAAATTGCAAGGTTAAAGAAAATAGTAGTTCCCATTTCGGGCATACATGAAATGAAGTAGTAGTTTCTATCCCGGACAATTGTGAATACAGCCGCGCTTACCCATAGGAACATAAATAAAAACCAGATAGCACATCAATGACTCGCATGGAACATGAATAATTGAAAACGGAACAAAGAACCAAATTGAAACCATATCGCACATCCATGGCAAACATAAAACTTGAATTATTTACCAAGAACCAAAATACAGATTATTAAAATAAGAATAACATCGTAAACATAAGATAAACTTAAAATCTAAATGGCATGAACAACAGTCTGCACATAAGCAGCCACATATCACATATAGAAATACAACAGAAATAAATAGATAGAGCAAACAATTCATGAATCACACAACTAGTTCGTCACGCACTTGCCTTTAACCTTGACGATAACCCGATGAACCACCTTCCACACCAGATCTCTCCACACCTATGGAGCAAAACTACGAATAAATCCTTATATTCAACTAATGATAGTTACGAGATATTTACTAAAATCGAAACTTAGAACATATAAACTTTTTACTGATTTGTATTAAACAACCTATAGTAGTTTCATTACTGTTTTATGCGTAACTCGCAAACCATCTAATGAAATCTGGCAACCAATATAACTTCGGTCATCTAGACAAAATTTTCTACAACTTTCATGTTGGGCGAAAAATCAGTTTACTACTTTTCTAGGTCTCAGATTAAGGAAAAAAGAATTGGTGTCACTATTTTCATACCCGGCAGCAGTACTGCTTTTGTTGTTTCTCCTAAGCCGTTTACCGGAATCGAGCAAAACTAGCACCGTTAGAAAGATATCGATGATGAATACAAACTTTATTTAGGACAACTAACCTGAATCCCGATGTTTTAATACCTTTCAAAATATATTTTCCAGCCTGCAATCAAGAACCTCAAAAATTGCACGAGCGGCTATCGAATCAATTTATATTTGAATCTTATACTTCTAAGGAGTAAACAAAAGTACCGTTGCAGCGAGGACACTAGAATTTGAGAATAAACCCACTAGTTACGAAATCACCGAAATCCCCAAAATTGCTCGGCCTTTACCTTCCCTTCTTCCTCCTGTTCTCTTGCTTCCTCTGCACTATGCACCCTTCTCCTCTCTGTCCGATGCAGTAGCAGCAGCCCCACGAAACCATTAGTAGCAGCAAGAAACAACCAAAGCCACAGCCATAGATCAGATCGACAGCAGCAGGAGCTCACCGGGAAGAAGCAAAACGGAAAGGAGCCACCAGTTGCGATGGATGACGATGGCTGCGGATCTCCAGCAATGGCCGTGGTGGCGGCGCAAAGACGGCGGTGGCAACCGGGACGACAGCAGCGGCAGCAACAGCTAGCGCAGGAGTGGTGGCGGCTAGGGCTGGCTGTAGTGATCTCTCGTTTTTACCTTTTTCTTTTTTTTTTTGTTATATAAAGAGACTAAACAGGAGATCTAATGGCCCACATCGTTTCAATCCTTGGGACTTCGTTCGAACTCCAATTACTATGAACTTATATTCTATTTTGCACTACTCAATGAGCTCTACGCATCCATGGTTCCTAATCGCCTATTCGAACAACGGTTTCATAGTTGAACTTTTGCATTTTTGTTGTAATATTTCCTGAAATACACTAATTCAAAACTCAGGATATTACAATAAGCGACAATCTAGTCTACGGATTGATGGTCCCTAGCATTTCTTATTCGTCCTGGTTTAAAAAACTATTGTGTGGGTGAGGTCGGGAGCATTTGCAGTACACTTTTATCTATTGGAATTAAAAATATATGACTCCCACATGTAAAAAGTGTACGATAAATAATAGCCATGATCACGAGTTGAATTGGCAATGAGGTTTTGGTCTTCTAAACAATAGATAGATCTAATTTTCTCCAACTAGTAACGAGACATAGTGGATTGGTACGTAACCTTCTTTGAGGACAGAATCCTATATTTATGGGAGAACTAAGTTGCTGGATTTCTATTGCAGATCTAGGTGCCAAGCGGCAGTGGCCTGGTGAAGACGGGTGCCCTTGACCAGTAGTGGACACGCAATTGGGTGGAGGAAGCCGTTAGGTGGCCATCCCGGTGGTGGGGTGCAAGGGAGTAAGTGAAGATGGATCCTAACATGGCGTGGATCTAGAAGTGCTGGCAGAGGATGTTGGAGTTTTCAGGCGGGTTTCGAGGTTGTCACATAGGTAGCGCTCAACGCCGTCATGATCATCGCTAACCTATCACTCTACTCGCTAGCGTTATGCGCGGTGCCATGCTGGTAGATAGTGGGTGTGTCATCTTCGGCTGTCACCTATAGGTATTAAGCCTGATACCCCCTAGGTATCACGGCTGTTACCCACATATATTAGGCTTGGAACCTGGGTCTGATATAAGGGTTTGATACCTTCAATATTAGGTCCGGTACACAAGCACCTATTGGTACCCATAGATATACTAGCTTGGTACTACGTTTTGTACAATACATGCTATTATCATATCTTGTATCTTAGACTAGCCAAAAAATATCAGAGGGTAGTGATAAATGAGATTATTGGATTTATCGGAATTCATCGGTGATAGACAAAAAATTTTGGACAAAATTTGGAAAAAAAATTGAAGAAAATTTGTTAGGAAATAACATAGATTTTATCCAATCCATTTTTTATTAAAAAACAACACATATATATTCTGTAAATGAGATAATATCAACATTTTATAGTGCACACACAGCAAGCAAATGGAACCGAAAAAAAAAAGAGAGAACAAAAATCGTGGCTTCGCTTGAAGCAAACTCGAAACCTGTTGGTTGAGAGCTACCGCTTGTAACCAAGGCATCAAAGCAACTTCTATAGCAACTATCGAGGCTGTCTTTTATATTATAGCAGGAAATTCAAGATAGAAGATTTTCTCGGAGGGTAGTGATAAAAGATGTGGCTTCCCTCTACGTGGTGTACGCCTATTTGCTTCCCTTTCACCGGTGGCCCTATTTCCTGCCTTCCTGGGCCTTGCCCCTAGTCTTCTGATCATCTCCATCGTAGAAGAGTTTCAGACTCCATTACTCCGTTCTCTCGGTGACAAAAATGAAACACCACGGCTAAGAACATCAATCCTCACGCAGTTGTGAATGGCCATTGTTTCCTGGTGATTTATGTATTCAACTTAGAAGCTACTCTCTCCGTTTCAAGTTACAAAATGTTTTGATTTTGATCAAAATCAAACTATTTCAAGTTTAACTAAATTTATAGACAAATATAGTAATATTTATAATACTAAATTAGTGTCATCAAATCAATAATTGAATATATTTTCATAATAAATTTGTTTTGTGTTGAAAATATTACTATTTTTTCTATAATCTTGGTCAAACCTAAAGCAGTTTGACTTTGACCAAAGTTAAAACATCTTATAACCTGAAATGGAGGGAGTACTTGATTTATACCATCTCAATCAACTTTGCTTACTGATAGATGAACACAGGGATAAAGGTCAGCAAGTTTTTCTTTCCTGAATGTGTAGCAGTTAATCTGCTAGGGATTCGTTTCAATTTTTACGGGAATAATTAAGACTAGAAATTAAGAACGGTAAGAATAAATAAAATAACGCAAGGAGGCATATATCATGGTGTCTCATATTGTAATCAATTAATGATCTATCCAGCTGCTTCAACCTAATTAAGTCATCCTCTTTGATGCCATCCATGTCTTCGATCGTAAGCAAGAGTTATCAATTAATGTTTGGGAAGGTTTAGGGGGCGATGGCACTCACTGGTGAAGAACCCATCTTCACTCCCGATTTACAACCTCATTAAGTCTCGGGTTACAAACCGGAACTATGAACTCCAGAACTAAAGATGTCCATCTTTAATCCCAATTGAAATAACTGGATCTTTAGTTCTGGTTGGTAATCATTAGTACCGGATGGTGTTACCAACTGGGACTTTTTTTTTTTTGCTATTTTGCATATCTTGCGTCCGATATCCCCAACAACAAAATATCATCTCCCGACACTCCAAATCATCCACAATAACATAATCATAACAAATCATCCACAACAACATAATCCCAAATCATCCACAACAACATAATCATTCTCAAATCACAGATCAAATGAACAAATTATCCTCAACAAACAATCATTCACAAATTAAGAGGGAAAAAGGAAAAAAAGAAAGAAAATAATTCCCACGGCGACCACCACGGCCGCCATCCGTGCCGACCGCTGCCCTCCTCGTGTGACGGCTCCACCGGCCGCCGCCGTCTGCCACTGCTAGGCACGGCCCTCCGCGCCGGTCGCCCGCGGAAGGGAGTGGAGGAGGAGGAGGAGGAGAGGGGATAAGGAGGATGCGCTGGAAGAGATAAGATCGAGGTTGGGAGAGGAGGCACACAACTCGATTTTTTTAATCTTGGTCCCAGTTGTTATAACCAACCGGGACTAAATATGGATCTTTAGTCCCGTTTGGTAACACACCAATTGAGACTAAAGATCATCTAAGTTCCGTGGTAGTTTTAAACCGGGGCAAAAAAGATATTTAGTCCTGGTTAATATTGGAACGGGACTAATGTGATTTTTGGCCAACCCATCAGTTCTCTACTCAAGAGGATCTCCTTGTACCTTGCTATTGCGATCGTATCCTGATTCCTGAAGAGCTTGCACCTGCAGCAGCAGACAGACGCTGTGCATCCATGCCTCCATGACGGCTATGAGAGGCGAGGGTCCAACCGATTATCAGCGAAAAAGTTCAGGCAGAAACTATTTTGGAAGGCTGGAGACTCGATTTTATATTTATGTTTTTCTTCGGTGGAGGAGGGCCACCAGTAGAACGATAACAAATGGGCGTATGCCACGTAGCGGGAACAGGGATGGGAACACAAAGGCACAGCCCGAGAGAGGCGTTTTTGTTGGACCAATTTTGCACCTATCCGATAACAGCGAGAAATCCGTTCGTTTTCGCAGCAAATCGGCCAGTCTGGACTCTGGAGGCTCTCGCTCGCTCTTATCGATCGATACGACCAGACCGGAGGCCATCTCACTCCAGAGCTCGCGGGATTTTTTGACTTGAAAATAGCGTGATCGCCTCTCATGTCATGCAGATATCGTGATGCGTGAGAAGAAACCGTCTATCCTCCTATAAACTCTCGAGCATGCAGTCCGTTGTGCATTCGTGCAACGCGGTTAAGTTAGTTGTTGTTGCGATCCATAGATAGAGCTAAACCCCTAACTAGTAACTACCCAGAGAGAACTGATAAGGCCAGTGTCGAGCTAGCCAGCTGACGGCCGCCACAGTTTGCTTGATCAAGGCTGATCGATCGATCGATGGACATCACCGGCGCGGGCGCTATGGGAGGAGGATCCACGGCCGCCACCGCCGCCGCGGCGGCGGGGGCCGGGTGGAAGACGCCGGTGTCGATGGTGCTGGTGCAGCTGTTCATCACGGGGCAGATCCTGCTGTCCAAGGTGTCCATCGGCGGTGGCATGTTGATCTTCGTGCTGCTTGCGTACAACAGCTTCTTCGCCGTCGTCTTCCTCCTCCCCTTCGCGCTCATCTTCGAGAGGTTTTAATCTTCTCCGGTTTTTATTTGTGTGTGTTTTAAAGAAATTTTACGTTTCTTAATAAAGTACCTCGAGGTACCTAAATATTACACTAAATATTACCTAAATCCGAAGGTATCAAATTTTACACCAGAAAATATGTACATCCTGATAATTTCTCAGGATGATGAAATTATCCGTGTTTTTATGATCAGCTTGCCGTGAATATTTGCAGATTTCGCATCTTCAGAATATTTTTTTCTCTTCGGACAAACATTTTACAAAACTAGGATATCGGAATGAGATAATTTATGGTCATCCATTAGTGACTCTTTTCTAAATTTATTGAAAAATCATTTTGTAATGTCAATAATTATAAAATGTATGTCTAGTTTAAGTTGCGAATCAATTGATTCAATAATGAATAACACCACATGTATACTTCTGATCGAATAAATGGATAACCCTGGAATTAATCACCCGCTAAGAATACTGAATGTGATTGTAATTAAGAAAAGTAATTAGCAGCGGCTGTATGCATTCTAAAATCGGGTTTCATGGTGAAAATTTAATATGCTGCTAATTTGGTTTTGTGTAGAGGCAAGTGGAGGGACATGGATTGGGGTGCATTCGGATGGATCTTTCTCAATGCGTTCATTGGGTATGTACGACATGTGTATCTGAACCTTCAAATTCAGTCAAACTGTCCATAATTATACTTATTATTTAGGAACAAGTCCAAATAACCCCTAAACTTGGAACTGAAGTTCGTTTAGCACCCTAAACTTTAAAACCGGACATTCAACCCCCCTAAACTTTATAATACCGTTTATATAACCCCTAAGATGGTTTTGCATAGTAGGGTTTTTATCTAATTTATATATAAGTTGGATGAGTTTGATCACATATCATACTCTTTGGAGTAAAATTTTGACTTAAATATTTATTTTTCTACTTATGAGCTCTCACTTACAAACAAGTACGTACATGATAATAGTATGATATTACTGAATAAGAATAAATTGATGAGTTGCAACTGATGATATGCAAATGTGTTATATTACTTATTTAAAATTGTTCGTTTAAGCTTCCAAAATATACAAAACCATCATCCAAAACCACCTTAGGGGGTGATATGGATGGTATGGCAAAGTTCGGGGGGTTGGATAACTGATTTTAAAGTTTAGGGTGCTAGACGGATTTCCGTCTAAAGTTTATGGATGTATTTGGACTTTTTCCTATTATTTATTTATTGTGTGTGTTGATTCGATCGATAGTACATGAAGATCCATTCGTTGACACGTCTCACCTCTATTATTACTCTTCCTATCGTTTTTTCATAAAAAGAGAGTATGGTTTGAATACTATTCGTAACAGTGAGTTAACGTCGAAAAATACCTGTCCTTTGTACGGCTTGTAGGTTGCAACTCACCTACGTGAGAGAAAATTGTAAAATATACCAATAAGCTAGCTGTGTAGACCAGACAATTTTAGATAATTAGTTATTTGGAGGATTTTTTTAAAAAAAAATAATTGGTTTGAGACTACTGAGGAAGCACCGCAGCATGATATTAATATATGATGATATTTCAAAAACATGCATGATTGTATAAATATGCCAGCTCCACCTCCTAACAACTCTAGATATGAAATTTTCTCCAATGCAACGATAGCAAACCCAAGTAAATTGGGAGGGAGAAGGATAAATTTACACTAACTTAGCATTAGAACAGAGTGCTCACTTCTTGGTTCTTAACTTCATCACTTCCCTTATGGAAAAGATTGATTTCACTTGTCCTTCCAGTTCCAGGTCTGTGTTGGACTTCGGATTGCCCTCTATTTCCATCTAACCATGTGCATTCAGACAGGCTTTTGCACATAGGATTCAATTTTACAGAACAATTATGTAACACTAAAAGCATATATAAATTTTTAGATTTTTGTTTGTTTCCCTCTGTCTGTGCATCCAGGCAGCCTATTGCACATGTAATTCATCTTTGCAAAACCATTATGTAACACAAAAGCATATATTTTAAAGCAGAGGTTGATAATATTCTTGATTATATATACTCTGATATTTCTCTCAAAATAGTTCTGGCAAAGCACAGAAGAAAATAATTACACATTTATTAACATTAAAATGTTTTGACTATACACCTTCTGATTTTGGTTGTATTCGCTCCTTCTTAAAATAGTTACCTTACTACAAATGTTACTATATTTTAAAACAGAGGGAGTACACAAGCACATAATTTGTTAGAAGGATTTGTTGCACAAAGCTGCAAACTCTAGATATGTGCTTCAACAACAAAAATGAACTCATAAATCTGCTAAGAGCTTCCTTAGAAGGATAACAGCATAAACTTTGATGAAAGATTTTTTTTTCAAAAACAATGATACAAATATAGACCATTAGTCTGTTCAGAGTTGTTGTGATAAATAAAAACTTAGCCTCCAATAATAAGATATTTATTTACTGATAATAGTAGCAATTTGGTGAAAGACTCTACTGCATATAGAGCCACCTTTATTTAAAATAAATAGAAAAGGCAAAGATGAAGACATTGCCTTATTTATTGATAGAGAAGGGGAAATAACATCAACCCAAGCAAGGATAAACACTAAAAAACCATCAATTTGATTATACTCAATAACCAATTTCTTGATGGCTATTTATTACTTCCTGAGACAAATTATTTTTAGTTTTTCTTCTGACATGCCAAAATATGCAGGTACTCTGTGCCAATGAGCCTCTACTACTATGGCCTCAAGGATACCACATCATCCTATTCCGTTATCTTTCTTAATATAACTCCCCTGTTCACCTTCATCCTCTCACTTATGTTCAGGTAAGAGTCTCACTCAACTAGTTGTTGTATACGATGTACTACTTGGTAACTATAGGTTCCAACAACAACAGTTCCATATCATGCAAAAAAAAAAAAAGTCATACGGGTAAAATTCAAATCGTGTCGCAAAATTAATGTTCCATCTCATTGAAACATATGTATGAACATGATTATAGGTTGGAGGCATTCAAACTTAGAAGCATACCTGGAGTACTGAAAATAGCGAGCATACTGCTTTCCATTGGAGGGACAATGCTTATAAGCCTTTACAAAGGCAAGTCATTGCATCTCTGGGATTCTATCATACAACACCAAAATGAACACAAGTCAGCAACCAATCAGCTAAGAGGAACAATTCTATTGGTTGGCAGCAGCTTCACCTTTGCTTGCTGGTTTCTTATTCAGGTAATCATAAACATTGCTTCTAATAAAGTATATATATTTAGGGTAATTTTTACTTCTTTGAGAAGGTATTTTCTAGTGTAAAACTCGGTACCTTGAGTTACTTAATTTCTTAATGCCCATAAAAATTCTCATATATCTATATATTACAGTAAATTTTATCCCCATACAATGACATCTTATAACTATTGTCACAGTCAAAGATTCTCAAAGTGTATCCATACAAATATTGGTCGTCCATGGTGACATGCTTGGTTGGAGTATTTCAAACCGCATTGGTCGGAATCATATTAAGGAGAGACAAGAGTGCATGGGAGCTAGGATGGAATCTCAACCTTGTTACCATCGTGTACACGGTATACCTTCAACCTTCCTAACCCTTGAAATTAATTTAGTGAGCTAGAACAATAAATATATTTTATAAAATAAGTTTTTTTTTCTCGGTGTTCAGTGATGCTTAAAATAAGAAATCCATTTGCAAAGAACATTTTGTTTTCTGTTTTTTGGTGTCCACTAAAACTTGAATTGTATTAACTAACAAGTTTAGAGTTATGGTATTATTTTGGGAAAGATGAAATTTTAGGGAATGCGTAGGGGACTGTCTTAGGGATTTGACATGAAAAATATTTTGGTGTAGGGGGCACTTGCAACAGCCGGGAAATATATATTGAATTCATGGGCAATAACTAAGCGAGGCCCAACCTATCCCACAATGTTCAGTCCATTATCAGTCGTCTTCACTGTTGTGTTGGATTCAGTCCTTCTAGGAAATGATATTACAATTGGAAGGTCAGTTGCTTTCATTTGTGTCTATCATGCATGTTTAATGTTGCAAAAGGAAAATATATTTGATCAGTTAATGTGGCAAATGTAATCCTTTGCCAAACTGAATAAGACTAAGTTTACATAGCAAAAGGAAAGTAAACCTTGGAAATTTCTTATGCATATTTCCAAGAAATATTATACATAATAATCAGTACAAACAACGGCAAAATGGAGAATCAAAGAAGTCGGTGATGTGAATAGTGCAAGCACTTTCAACAATTGCAGCTTGTCCTTTTCAATTCACTTTTACGTTTACAAAAATTGTGAAGCACACAAAAGATACTAGTATAACATAGATGACTCTTGGAATAATTTCACACAACCACATGTGTTATGGTGCAAGTTATGAAAAACCACAAGAGTTTAGGACTGCACATAACCACAACAATTATGGTATTAATGATTTACAAAACCAAACTCTTACACAAATTTAGCCATTCTTATGTGAACTATTCCACCAATGATTAGCCACACTGACCATGTGCATAAGAATAGCTAAGTTTATTAATAGTGTGCTTTTATGAAAAACTAATATCATAACTGCTATGGTTAAGTGCCAAATGTCAAACATCTATGGTTTTTTATAATGCAGACCATAAAGCATGTGGTTTTGTGAAATTTACTGTTTTACTTTGTATTCCTCGAAACTATATGAAGTGTATTTGCAGTACAGTTTATTTTTTGACCATTGGCAGCAATAGATGTAATTGTTCTCCTATTCTCAATGTGCAGTCTTCTAGGCACAGCATTGGTGATTGTCGGGCTCTACCTTTTTCTCTGGGCCAAAGCACGAGAAATACCTAAGAAGTCAACATAGTATATTCTACACAAGTCCTGGTAGCTAAACAACACATAGGAGTTATTTATGTACACAATGAGATGTATACAGCACAGTTATTTAAATGCGAAAGTATCATATACTTGAGACGGATAGCTTATAATGTTTGTTTATTTGTTGTTAATGGATACTATTGTATTTCATAACACTGTTAAAAGAAAATATTGTTGATCAGCCCCTGTCCTCTTACTACTATTTCTTTACACCTATAAAAGAACATGTTGGTGGCCATGAACTCGTGATTTCCTGGCCATGTCCAATATTACATTCGTTCACTTAGGCCATCTTTGGAAACTACGAATAGCAAAACAAAGTTAGAAAAAGACAAGATTTAGGTAGTTTGCACATGCAAAACATAGGTTAAATCCAAATTTAACCGTTTGGACAGGCTATAGAAAAAACACATGCATAAGAGAGGTAAAACTAAAGAAAATTTTCTATGAGAATGAACATCAATTGAATAAGAGGGTGGTGAACTATGAATCCACCACCAAGTTTCAATAAAATGATCTCAAAGGTTGAAGCCACCACACTTAGACATCATGGCAACATGACTTGAAGGAGCGATGAGCCATCCGTGTCAACTGCGCCCGCTAAGCAATGGTGATTACTTCCGTATTTCATAGTCGATGTTACAAAATATGGATACACAAATAACTAATAATGCAGTATTATATATTTATAGTATGCACCATCATTATTCACAACTCATAATCAAGTGTAAAAGAAGCTTAGAAAATAAATTAAAAACTAAATTATACTTGTAACATTAAATAGAATTAATGATTGCTTTCCGTAGCCTAAAATCCAAGAAAGATGTGAATCAAGATTTAATTTAGTATTGTGCAAGACTGGCACACTTTAACCATAGCAACTTTGATCATGTTTGATCGTCGCATTTCACTACATGCGACACCATAACGGACAGCCAGAGTCCAAAACTATTCCCCTATTTCTATTTTGGCAAAATTTGCCACATGACATCTAAAAATCATGTAATTTGTTAGAAGACATAAAAAAACGCGACACTGCCAATGGACACTACAAAATTTGTGTAATTAGCTTTAGGACACCCGAGGCAATATTTTATTATTTTCGGTGAAAAAGAGGAGAGAGAAATTTCAAAAGGACGGAAATGCCCTCAGCCTCAGTACCTGAAATCCCCATCCAACTTCAACTGCGGCGGCGGCTTCGGCTGGTTGCGGCGTTGGGAAGCGACGGCGGTGGTGATGGCTCGGCCGGTCATGGCGCACCAGGAGCTCGCCGCGCTGCAGGACCAGCAAGACCATGAGTTCCGCGCTGCAAGAGCTCGCCGCGCACGCCGCGAACTCCGGCGAAGGCGCCACGCTGCCGCCGTGGTGCGTCTCGAAGCTGAGCCCCACGGCGCCGTCGCCGCCGCCGCAGGCCGCGGTCTGCAGGTCCTGTTCTCCACAGACCCGTCGCCATGGATCCAGCTCAAACCTGCACACACATCAACAAGAAACCAATCAACGGCAACAAATCGATCAAATGCAATGCACAAATCACAATGGCGATGGAGCCGCTCGCCACCACCACCCGCTGCTGCAGCCGCTCTGCAACGCCGCCACCGCAGCCACGGCGCAGAGCTCGGCCAAGTCCGCACCACCGACGCTGCAGCCGCACTAGCAGCTGCCCGCTGCCGCCACGCATCTGTCCGCCACAATGCACCTGTCCGTCGCGCCTCGCCGTCACCGGCGGTGAGACCCTGGCGGAGCGCCGCCTCTTTTTCCGCAGCGCGCCGAGCCATCCCGGCTCGGGCCGTCGCGCCGTTCCTCCGCTCCGCCGCGTGCGTGAGGAAGAAGAGGATAGGAGAGAGATGTGGACTCCACTTATGATTACCAAATAGTAATCACCCTACTAATTACAAATAAATTAGTCCATGACTCGTAGACCCATGTGGTTAAAAACCTATTAAAAATTAGATTAAAGATAGGTTGTCGATGACATGTGGGACCCACCAGTATTTAAAGAAGGAAAGAGAAAGAGCAATCCGGGCATTTAGATAAATATCTCACTTTTTTTTTTACCTAAAAATAATAAAATAATACGACCGGTGTCCTACGGCCAATTACACGTATTTTACGTGTCCTGTGGCAAATTTTGCCGTCTATTTTCTATGCTCCACATTTCATTAGGCCTAACAGTTGTCCACACCACACCACCGCCACGTGTATATATGAGTGTGGAATGCTCAATCGTCCCTGATAATTGTGCCAAACAAGAAATGTTTTTGTTCGTGTGGTTACACTTGGATGAGGGCTATCCAAGGACACTGTACGTCTTTGTAATGTAGGGCAATTGAGAAGAGAGGTGCTTCTTGTCACGTATTAATGCCTGGCAGTTTTTAACATTAATACTAAAAATCTCGCAATATGTGAATCTTCTTTTCCCGATTCGTCATGCGGTGCGTGAGTTTATGACCCCAGTGACCCTTCATCACCCTAGTGACCCCAATGACCCGTCCGAAAATAAGCGCAGCCATGAGTTTCCGTGTTCAACTTTGATCGTTCGTCTTATTTGAAATTTTTTTTATGATTAGTATTTTTATTTTTACTAGATTATAAAACATGAATAATACTTTATGCGTGACTCATGTTTTTAAGTTTTTTTAAAAAAAAATTCAAATAAGACAAATAATTAAAGTTTAACACAGAAATTTATGGTTATGCTTATTTTGGGATGGAGGGAGTATAACTATGTCATGGGCTCATGGCTGCCCCTACCCTAGAACATGTCTGACAAACTGCCCATGAACAAAACAATGTAATATCAGTATTGACACCGTGTTTAGTTGCAAACTTTTGTTTCAAACTTCCAACTTTTCCATCACATCAAAACTTTCCTACACACATAAATTTCTAACTTTTCCGGTCACATCTTTCCAATTTCAACCAAACTTTTAATTTTAGCATGAACTAAACACACCCTGAGTTTCCTTGCAATCATGTAACTTTTGGAAGAGCGAACAACAAAGCAGTGCTAAGAGCATCTCCAAGAGACTCTCCAAGCTAAATTTTGGCCATTTTAGCAAAAAATCTCACTCCAACAGTCTCATAAAAATCTCACTCCAACAGTCTCTCTACTAGAATGGCTAAGCCAAATAGCTGGCTAAATTCCTCCCCTCAATGGCCAAACTTGGCCAGCCCAAACAGCATAGCTATTCGTGGGTCCCACGCGTAGAGTTTTCTCTCACCCTGCACTACCCGTGTCCTGAGGTTAGGATGCGGTGGTGGGACGGCACGACGGCGAGCATTGCCAAGGCCTCCCGCTCGCCGGCCGCCGGCATCGAGGGCATGAAGGGAGCAGCGGCAGCGAGATGTTGTCATCGCCCCTCTTCCTTGCCGACGCCGTCGCCTCCGCCCTCGACCGCATCCGACGTCGCCACCCGCAGCCCTCCCATCGTCGGCCATCCAGCGCCGCTGTCTCCATCCACGCCATCCAGCGTTGCCCCCACCGCCTCCACTCCACGGGTCGTCGTAGAGAGCCACCACCGCCGTTGCTGGCCTAGAGAAGAGGAAAAGGGAGAGAGAGGAGGAAGAAAGTGTAGTAGAGGCTGACGTATGGGTCACAGTGTCATAGGCTCATAATGGAGAGTCCGAGAGTGTAAATGGAGAGGCTGTTGGAGCGAGGAATGAGTTTGGCTTGATAAATCAACTGGAGAGCTAGCTATATAGGTGTTTGAAGAGTCCGATTTGAAGAGGTTGTTAGAGATGCTCTTAGACCATGATAATATTAGCAGCATGGATAAAATGTTGTCGATTGAAAACCTAATCAAAAGATTCTCAGAAAATAAATATCACAGGAGAGAACTTGTACATAAGCATCCCAGTTTAACGCAACTTCACCATACCACCACAACTTAATGCTCAAGGCAAATTCCATGATAAAAGGTAACAAATGGAGATTAATATTTACCAGTTAGCAAAACAATGAATATCAGCACCTAGAAATAGCAACAATCCCTGCCCAGCTCTCTGGGTAGCCAAATTTCTTTTTTGAAATATGCTTCCATCACCATAAACAAAATAAACCGGTAATCTGAAATTAATCAAAAACATCGGAATTCTGTTCAGTTTGAGAGTAGTCTCGTAGCCAAATTCAGATGAAGCACAACGCTAACAGAGTAACAGGTAATGAACAAATGAAGTCTAATTTTAGTATTACTGATTCAGAAGAGAACAGAGAGAGAGAGAGAGAGTCATAATCAGACACTACAGGGGCAAACAATGATTCTTTTTCATTGCCTTCGCATTTAAAGATAAACTGGACAGGAGGATAAACAGTGAGATTATGCATTACCTTCATGCACACAAATATTCTCTTGACAGAAGCCTACTCATATCTACAATTTCCAACCTCTGCAACATGCCATTTCTCAAAGGTACACATGAAAACTGAAAGCAGTTCATCAAAATGAAAATTGTAGAAATATAACTTACGGTTACCTGCCCCACTTTTCTATACATTGACATCCATTATGTGTATCATCAGCTTTCATGTTGCTTGGATGATTTAGTAAACATCATATATGCTATTCTAGCTCCATTTTGGATTTGTGGGACAAAAAATAGAATATGGTATTCGACAATTCAATCCTTCAATGGTTCACAAAGATAAGGCAAACAATCAAACTAATCCACTCTAACATTGGCTCATTATGATCAACATCAAAAGTTTCATGTTGGACTTGCTATACAGCTATTCGTCTCACCATTATTTTTCTCATGTGTCATCATGGTTGTTCCTTTTCTGTAACATTTCCTTCCTCAGATCTTCTGCCTTAATTTCATTTCCATATTTTGAGTAGGCCTCAACCATGATATTATGTATTGCATTACTGGGTACAACATTATTTTGCATCATTTTCTGATACAGATATTCCATTTCATTTAATCTCCCTGCACCACCTAATCCGCTAATAAGTTGATGGTATGTTCTCACCGTAGATTTGATGCCATACTTATGCATTCTTTGCTGAAGATCCAAGGCTTTATCAATATTGCCTCTGTAACAGCATGCTGATATTAAAGTATTATAGCTGACAGCATCAGGTATCAACCTGTGATTACTTAAGCTGTTAATAATTTCCTCAGCTTCAGATATCTGCGACTGGTTGCAAAGGCCTTTTATAAGCAAATTGTAGGTTACTATACTTGGAGATATTCCGTTACTCTTCATCTTCTCAACTAAAATAAAAGCCTGATCATTGGGACCATGCTCTACGTATGCATCTATGATAGCATTGTACACCTGGGCATTTGGTAAAACATCTTTATGAAACATATCATCCAATATAGCTACAGCTTCTGGGATTTTTCCATTCTTACAAAAAGCATTGACAATTGAACCATAGGAGACAACATTTGGTTTTAGCCCATTCTCTTGCATTTCGGAAAGAACAATGAAACATTTCTCAAGTTGCCCAGTCCTTCCATAAGCATCAATCAGCGTATTGAAAGTTTCCACAGTTGGATTCACTCCATTGTCCTGCATCTCCATTAACAGATCTTGTGCATTGGTGATTCTTTCAGCCTTACACAAACCATTGATTAGTGCATTGTAGGTAATGTGATCTGGCTTGATATGCCGCGACTTCATCTGTCCAAAGGTTGAGAAGGCCCCTTCAAGCTCTCCAGTCTGGCAATATCCATTGATCAGAGTGTTATAGATCACCCTTGTTGGGACTAACCCTGCATTTACCAGTGACTGAAGAACCTCTTCAGCAATTGAAACTTTGCCATCCTTACACAGGCCATTCAACAAGATACTACAAGTGTAATCTCCAATTGTCACTCCATTCTTCAAATATTTTCCAAACAATGAAAGCATTGCCTTTGAGTCACCATTTCTTGAGAGACCATCAAATAAAATGCTATATGTGAAGCCATCGGGCACCATCTTTTGTGATGCCATTTCATCCAACAAGGCTGACGTCTCTCCCATCCTGCCAGCACGGCACAGACCGGACAGGAGCACATTATACGTAATCGCATTCGGCTTCAAGCCATGACACACCATCTGATCCCGCAGCCTGAAACCAGCCTCCAGGTCGCCGCCCTTGATGTGCCCATCAATCATCGTATTGTATGTGATATGATTCGGCAGCACGGCCCTCTCCGTCATTTCATCGAACACCTCAACGGCGTCACCACCCCTCCCTGCCCTCCACATCCCCGCGATGACCACGTTGTACGAGAACGCGTTGGGCGGCGGCGCGCCGTCGCGTCCCATCCGCCGGAGCATCCCGACGGCCTCGCCGAGGTCGCCCGCCGCGACGCACGCCTGGACGGCCTTGTTCCACGCGAACGTGTCCGGGCGCGCCCCGGCGGACGCGAGGATCCCAAACGCGCGGCGCACGTCGGCGTGGCGGCCGAGCGAGAGGAGGGCCTCGAGGAGGAGGTTGCAGGAGGAGAGGGATGGCAGCGGCGCGCGGGCTTCGTCGGCGAGGTCGGACAGAAGCCGGAGCGCGCCGTCGGGGAGGCGGAGCCGCGCGGACGCGACGACGAGGGCGGAGGCGGCGTCGCAGAGGAAGGAGGAGGCCGGATGAGGGTCTCCAGGCGAGGCGGATGCGGATGCGGATGCGGCGGCGGCGGCGACGGCGGCGAGGGCGTGGTAGAGGTCGGGGACGACGGAGGCGGCGGGCGGCTGCGCGGTGAGGAGGAGAGACTTGGCGAGGTCGACGGAGGCGTGGAAGCGGCCGGCGGCGAGGAGGGAGGCGAGCTCGTGGAGGTGGGTGGCGGCGGCCGCCGCGGAGGTGGAGCAGAGGGAGCGGCGTGGGAGGAGGAGGCGGCGAGACATTTGGGAGGAGCGGCCTTCTTCTTCCTCATCAGTTCCTCTCTCTCCCCAAAGGTTTTTTTGGAGTTTGGTGGGGTATAGGCTGTGTTATCTTCAAACTTTCAAAAATTGCGTGACATCAAATGTTTTAACTTTCGAAAATTAGTCTACGTTTAATACTGTATCTGTATACGTAAAAAAAGTTTGATGGAGAAACTAAACACGGCCTTAGGCCGGGGGTTCTGCAGTGTAGTGTCCGACTTTTATGGCTTTTTTGAAATTCAAAAAATTGATAGGATTTGTTGGACGTAGTTTGTCATTTCTTGACGTTTTTATTGTTTAGTAATATCGCCACCATCACCACTTCATTAACACCACTTCGGTGGGAGATGGGGAACTAGGGATTGGTGTGCTAGCAGAGCAAAAGAGGGCAGCGAGGCGATTTTGCCTTATGCTGGCTAGGGAGATTGGGATGGGTAGAAGATGGATGGGGGAATTTAGGGGCGGCATGAGTGGCTTCGACCTTACGGGAGCTCCGAGGCATTTTCGCGTGCATTGGGCAAGATTTGGCGGCTAGGAGAGGGAGGCGGTGCACAAAGCTGTATGCGGACGGAAGAGGAAGACAAGGCGTTGGGTGCGGCGTTTTCGTGCAGGAGATCGAAAGGGGTAGAGGTATTTTTGCACAGGGGCGGAGCTAGAGAAAAAATGAGGGAGGTTTCCTGACTTTCTCTGTGTAATACCGGTATGTATAATTCTAAAGTGATATTGTACTAAATAGTTGCGTACCCAATACTTATAAACATCATCTCTCTAATTGATGGCGATATACAACAAGAAAATGCATAGAAAAATTAAAAATATGTGTATCATAATGAAGAAACCATCTTATAACTTGCCACTTGCCCCTCCGTTGAATGCAAGCAACAAACGCTAACTTAATCAATAATCATGGGTTATGGGTAGTCCAGCAAAACTGAAAGAGGGGAACAACGTGACTTGACTTACCGATTAGATTTTGAGGCTGCGGCCTGCGGAGGTGGTCCAGGTGGAGTAGGTGGCAAACGACGAACTGCTGGCCGACGTCGGGCATGGTAGGGGTAGGCGATACCGGCGGCTGGCACAAGGGCACTAGGGCAGGTTGCACTGCCACAGGCATCCAGGGCTGATCCAGGTGATACGGACGTCTCCGTGTCGGGCAAGATCAGCGGTAGATCGAGACGGCGAGAGATTGAGAGGCGAGGGATGAGTCACGCGTTTTGATTTTTGGAAGATGGAACGATGCCGCCCTGATTTCTGGTCGCCGATTCGCCGCCCTGGCTCCCTGATGAGTTGTCGCGCGCGCATGGATCGATCAAAACACGTGCAGTGCGACTCCTCATCTCCTCTCGGCTAGGCCTTCTCCACCAATATAGAATCTATGGGCTGGCCGGCTGGGCCTTATCGAGTAGAAGTTTTGGGCTAGACAAATGGAGGGGTTCCTCAGTTTGGGCTAGAGGGGTGCCCATGTGGTGGAGGTATAGGGGTTACAAGCTATTTCGAATTTTAGGTCGGGTTCCTGGGCACCCCCCTGGGTCTGTTGGGCTCCGCCCCTATTTTTGCATGCGAGAGAAGAAAGAAAACCGAGCGAGGCGGCAGTGTTTGCTTCGGCGCGCGAGGGCTGAGAGGAGAATAGGGGATCCATGTGTGGCGAGGTGGGCGGAGGGGATCGAGAGGGTTCTATGTGGGACCCATATAAACATATTTTTTTTATCATATCTTATGGCTGCACGCGAGCGATACAGTTTTGGGAGCTGTGCACGCGTCGGTGCTAAAACAAGCGCCCACTTGTTTCTTTCTCTATGATTTTCTTTCCTTAATCCCAGATTAAGCTGATTAACAAGTTTTGGAGCTGGCTTAATAATGCTATTTTACTGCTCTAAGGGCCTGTAGCCTAGTGGTTACAAGAGCCTCAGTAGCACCTTAGATCCTGGGTTCGACTCCCCGTGGAAGCGAATTTTCCAGGATTTAACGGCTTTGTGCTTTCAGTGGTAGGCAACGTACCCGTCGACAGCGAGGCGCCCATGGTGACTTCGTCAATCTCCAAGATGGATTTGCCGGCCCAGTCTTCGAAAATGCTCACAGGGGTAGGGTTTGCGTGCGTTCATAGGGGTGAGTGTGCGTACGTTGTATTGTGTAATTCTAAAAAAATAAAATAAAAACTAATGATAGTCATACTAGCAAAAGTGATGAGGTGGCAAATAAATACGTGGACAAAAGTAGCGTGTGACTAAATAGTGACCAAGTATACATAATCTTCTATACTACTCCCTCCGTCCTAAAATATAAGAACCCATCTGATCCTACGTTCTTATATTTTAGGATGGAGGGAGCAATAAGCAGCACCTGCTTCTTCCGATCGAAGTAGTATCCAAGTATTTTCAGGATTTTTCTTGAAATCATTTGAGCATTGGAAGTATTTTTAACAATTCAAAGATCATTTCAGTGATTATTTTAATTGGAAAAGGTTTTTAAATCCTCTCCTAAGCCGTTGGGTTGATTTCAGCCCAACATCTCTCTCCCTCGCGCGCGTGCTGTGCAGCCCAAGCCAAGTCGAGCTGCTCTGATCTGTTCTAAGCCATCCGAAAGTCTAATTTGCCTCCCTCCTTCAATCGGGCCGAGGAAATGAAGCCCGGCAGGAAGTCTGTTTTGCATCCCTCTGCTACAGTGTCGCCCCTAACCTCCAGCCGGTCGATCTCCTCCCTGCCGTGCCCGTGTACAGCGCCGCCTCCCCACCAAATTCGTCCTCTCCGTTGCTCCTCTTTCCAAATTAGTTGTGGGAATATATTCCTCTCGATCTCCTCTATCTTGTCCCCAAGAAACCCCCTTAAATTCCATGGTATATCGCGTGGATTCGACGCGGTTTTGAGTTCCTATTTTCCGGCGAACCCTAACTAATCCGTCGCCGATTCCATCCGTTCCCAAGCCGATCTCTCCCTCTTCCGGCTATAAATAGCATCCCCTAACCGTCCTCTTCCATTTGCCTCTAGTCCCAAGTTGAGCCGTCGCCCGTAGCGCCGCCGCCACGTTGTCTTAGCCGCCGCCGTCGCTGGCGATCCTCCGGTCGCATCGCGCCGCCGCTAGCGCCGTCGCCGTTGCCGTCCGTCGCCGCCTTCGGGTGCGCACGGAGAAGGAGTACCTCGTCCGCCCCTTCGCAGCCGCCGAAGACCGCCGGAGCGCCGTCGTCGTTGTTGAGCCGAACCGTGCCGCCGTTGAACCTCGTCGCCGGTCGTCGTTCGTCGTCGTTCGTCGTAGTTTCTTGCACCGGTGAGTTCGCGTCGTCGTCCTCTTCGCGTAGGTGTCCTCGGATAGCCCAACCGAGCTCTCTTTTGCCGGTGGTCGCGTGGAAGCAGTGCCATGGCCGGCGATGACGTCAGCGATGACGTCATAAATCCATTTTTCTTAGTTTCTTTATTAGATGAAAATCGATTAGACTTCGGAAATTCATAACTAAATCATCGTAACTCGGATTTGAGTGGTTCAAATTGCTAAATTCATCTAAAATCTAGATCTACATGTTAAAAATATCCACATGTACTGTTTATGCTTGTTTTTTTTACTGTTTTGTTGATTTTGTTCTTTTGCTTTAGTTTCCGACGTTCCGGAGGAGAGCGTTTTCGTTGAGGAAGGTTCGGAAGTGTTTGCGGAAGATCAAGGCAAGTCACACAGATCCCAAACAACCCTTTGAGCATGTTGAACCTGTTTAAAGCTATTGTTTATTTCAACTTATGCATTATTTTCGAATGTCACCGGGTGGTGAGCCTTTCCCAATTAATTAATAGCCGAAGATGACTTTATTTTCCTATGGGTTATAATTTGATTAGCTAGAACCTTATATATTGGTTTGGTTCAGTTAAATGCTATATATATATATATATATAATTGCTTAGCCATGCTTAGAAACATTAGCTCATTAATGGGATGAATCATATATACTACATTATTATTCATGATTATATTTAATGGTAGCTCACGATGGTTAACCGTGTTATGATAATTAATTGATAATTAAAACTTGATAATGGTGGGTTGTGAGCACATGGTTTTGAAGGTCGTGTTCATGGCAATTAAGGACCGGTTCGCGAGCTACTATTGTGAGACATTAACCGTGCCAACTACAAGCCAGCGTGGGCAACGACTTTACCTTTTGTATAACATGATTCATTGCGGGGTGCCAGACTGTGAAGCGGTAAGAAGTCCGTGGGGGTCGCCGGGGAGTCCATGCCTCTGGTTATATTTATAGAGGGGGTGATTATGATCTAGGAATGGTGCACTGTGGTGAGTTGTGTTGTGCAGGGGTATTGTCACAGCCTCTATTCGGGTACTTTCCAGTATCGCGACGCATGGTAGACATAATGTTGAGGCTGTGTCTTGTGGGTACAGTGGTACACCTCTGGCCAGAGTAAAACTATTCGAATAGCCGTGCCCGCGGTTATGGGCGAGTTGAGCAATGTTTTTCGTGATTAGTCTCACATCTCTCACAATAATTATTGATGCTATAACTGGTAATAATTTGCTTAGCTCCTGGTTTGGAGTTAGATCTATGCAGCCGGGTTTGGTTGTTCAGGATGGTTGGGCCTGAGCAGCATGGGTGTGCTGTTCAGTGTTGATTAAAATTGATGATTACTCTATTGTTTTACTACTCTTAAATCTTTGCTAAATGCTGCTTTTGCAAATGAGACTATATTATGCCATCATTTGGTATCCTTGTGCACTTGTATATTTGCTGTGTGGCTTGTTGAGTATGTCATATGCTCATTTTTGTAATAATCAATCAACCTCAGTTGAAGAAAAATGATCTAGAAGGAGAAGACATTTGGCTTATACCCCAGTTGAGTTGCCTGTGGGAGTGGAGCTGAAGCCATCGCTAGACCGTTAATTCCGCTGTTGTTTTTCTTTTCTTCTGTAATTATGTAACGTTATTATTATGATGGATTCGTATATTAAATTGTCAGTTTGTGTACCTCGGCTAATTTCTGGACGAGGGTTTTATGCACAAATAAGTTCGGGAATTACTAGTGAATTTCCGGGCGTGACATAACCTCCTCCTACTAAATAAGTACATCTTCTGTCCCAAAATAAGTTCATTAGTAAATTTATATATCCAACGTTTAACCATCCGTCTTATTTAAAATATTTTTATTGTTATTAGATTATTAAACATGAATAGTACTTTATGCATGCCTTAGTTTTTTTTTATAATTTTTCATTTTTTTTTAAATAAGACATAAACCCACAAATATTTTGAGACGGGGGTGCTGACAGGAAGAAAGATGCAAAGAAAATGATAAACGAAAAACATACACAAATATGTGTATAGATAATCTAATAGTAATAGCTAACTATTGTACACAATACCTCTTCTTAAGTTAACTCTATTGCTGATGTGGATGTTTTTAGCTAATTACTGATTACAGTACACTATTAACTTTGCTCTAAGAGCACTCCAATACAGTGACGACCTCATATGTCACGTGGAATATACTACTATCATATATGAGCCATTCATTGAGACAACAAAGGCTACTTTACGCCTTGTCTAGATTCAAAGTTTGATCTTCAAATTTTCAATTTTTTGTCACATCGAAATTTTCTATACATACAAACTTCCAACTTTTTCGTCACACCGTTCCAATTTCTTTAAACTTCTAATTTTGACGTGGAACTAAACACACACTTAATGTGTTTTCTTTCCATATATCATTACTTGTACGTCAGCCCTTTCAATGTTCCTTTTTTTTTTGACAGGAAACAATAGGAGAGGCTCCTACTGTGCTAATAAATATATTAATAATATAAGGAGTTTATGTACAGAGAAATATTTACAATGGAAATAGAGAATTTACAGAAGAATTAGAAAATAGAGTCAATCCATGATTGATAGGAAGGTTTATCCTCCTCCAGTCCTCCTTCACTCTTTGCATAAGAAGAGTGAAATCCTCTCTGAAAGCATACTTCTGGTTATTGAAAGATGAATGAATATTGTCAAAGATGAGCGTATTTCTTTCGGTCGATATCTGCCAGCAGGCCGTGCCCACCACTTCAACAAAAAACGGCTTGTTAAAATTAATATAAGCTGTTTCCTCATCCCAGTTGATACCAATGAAATTGCAGCACACCTTGGCATAAGGACAACCAAAAAACAAATGAACCATATCTTCCAAAACCCCTGGCATGCACATTCTACAGGATGGACCATCTTATAATCAAATAAGTTTTAGACCTATGGACTTTGAAAAAACCACGGATGTACATGTCAGCCACTCTTTCACTCTCTTTTCACCCCTCACCTCTAATCCCCTCCCTATATAGGTCCCGTTCTAAGATTTTAATTTTCGTGGCACGCTTTTCAGATTGCTAAATGGTGTATTTCGCACGAAAACTTTCTATATGAAAGTCGCACTAAAATATCATATTAATTTATTTTTTAAGTTTGTAATAACTAAAACTCAATAAATCATACGTTAATACCATCTCGTTTTGCGTAAAAAAAACTTAATCTTCATTTTCATCTTGAGAAGAAAAGAACACCACCATAGTTCACGTCCTTTCCCCTCTGCTATCATTTCCTCCTCACCACTGCCCCGCTGCCCCCTCGAATGAGGTGGTAGAGCCCGCACCATCCTCTTCTTCATCTGGTGCTGCAAATCAATGTTATCTCTTTAATCCCCTTCTCCTTCAAGTACTCTAGACAAGTCGACGAGTCCCCCGCCTCCATCGCCACCAACCTCCAGGACCGATGAGCGGATCTAGCGATGTGGTTGGTGAGCTCTGGGACCAACAAACGGCATGACTACTCAATCCAAGCAGCGAGGCGAGCTGATGCTCGTCAGAGTTGGCCGCACCAGAGGTGGTCGAGGACAACCTCCAACTTCTAAATTAGGCGCAAATGAGGGGATGAGCTCGCCGGCTTATGAGTGGCAATAGGCTCCTCTCCCTCCTCTGTTGCCCTCGTTCTCTTCTCCTATCATGTTCACCGTGTCATTGCTGTTCGGGTAGGGTTAAGGTGGAGATAAGGGTGTGGACCACACTACGGGAGCATGACCTCACCTAATACGGTGTCCCGATGCGTTCGTCCCCTAAGGCCTTGTTCGGTTAATCCTCATAAGGGAGGGATTTGGAATTATTATATGGTGTGTAATTATTCCCCCTCAATCCCCTACAAACCGAACAACACCTAACAGGGACATGGATCATTCTCGAAATAGGGTTCGACTCCTACGTGGCGAGCCTATGCCTCGTCTTGTAGGAGCATTGGGCAAGGCGTATGAAAGCACAAATTGCCTGACAAATCGGCATGTTGCAATTTGCAAATATTTGCCCACAATTTCCGTTCCGCAGTTATTTAGCGAATCCGCTTAAAAAATAGCCAGCTCAACACATCTCGCGGTACTGACATCTTAGACACTTTCGCCATCCCTTTCCACTACTGCTACTATTGCACAGCCGCACAACCCGACATCCCCTGCTGGCACAAGAACAGATTAATTTTCGGCTCGATCGACGCCATCTTCTATTCATTCGATCTTGCAATCACAAATAATAAAAGCAGCTCAACGAGCCTAGATCCAAGATCGAAAATCCTTCGGATGGATCGCAAACTGAGTCACCAAACGCTTCTGATCTTGAGCTACGAGACATGTCCCAGCATTTGAATCATATTTGAATCACAAATTTTGTAGTAGTATGTACTACAAGTATAAGTAAACAATCCAAAATTGTTGTGTGTTGTAGCGTTGATCCGTCACAATGAACAAACAAATCCCCTATCTAACCAAGCGAAACCACGCGACAAGGATCGTGTAGAGTGGATCGGAGCGGCAGCGAAACGCGGGCGGCTACCGTGCCGGCGCCGGCGCGGTCGCCGCGACGCCGCCGGCGCCGCGGCGGCGCAGCGCGTTGGTGTAGTTGATGATGGAGTTGATGCGCTGCAGCTTGAGGTCCTCCCTGAACTGCTTGATGAACCGCTCGGCCCGCGCGTTCACCTCCGCCTTCCCTTCCTCTACCTCCTCTGCCCGCGCCCGCCGCGGCTTGGCGTCCGCCGCCTTCGCCGCCGCCGCGGCATCTGGTGCGGAACGCGGCGAGCGCGCCTGCGCCTGCTGGGCCAGCGCGTACGCCTCGTCCAAGCTGATGGACTCCTCCTCCTCCTCTGCTTCCGCCTCTTCTTCCTCGTTCTTGATCGCCGCCGCTGTTGCGGCGGCCACAGGCGAGCTCCGTGGCGCCGCCATGGACGGCGTCGTCGCCGCCACGACCTCCCTCACCGGCGCCGGCGGCTCCGGCCGGAACGGCGCCGCCGCGACGGCCTCCACCAACTCCTCCTCTGCCTCACGCGGGTAGTAGAAGTAATCGGACCCCGACGAGACGTCGCCGTGGACGTGGAGCGGCGTGGCGCTGTAGTCGCCGGAGAGGTACTGGAAGGGGAAGTTGGCGACGGACCGGAGCCTCTCCATCACAACGGTCGACGCGGTGCGCGCCAGCCTCCGCCGCGCCGCCGACGACGGCGTCGAGGTCGTCCCGCCCACGCCCTGCCCCAGCCACGACACGACGGCGATGGCGCCGACGATGACGTTCAGGAACACGAACCACGCCGCCCCGGAGCTGAGCCACGACAGCATCTGCACCACCGCCATAGACGACGACGACGATCGATGATCCAATCCAAGAAACTCACCTCACAGCTGAGTGAGCTCGATCTGTTCGACCGGTGAATCGAATCGGAGGAAAGGCGATGATGAGATGAGATGGGTGGGTGGGTAGCGAGCTCAGGTGAGCTGGGCACATGGTTATATAGGCAGGTGAGTGTGTGTCTGTTCGTGGAGAGGTGGGTGAGAACGGCAGGAGAAGAAAGGCGGCACCGCGTCGCGTCGCGCGCCGCCGCGTCCACGGTTGGCATCGCGTGGCTCGTAGCGGCAAGTTGGCAACCGCTTTCTGCTATTCTATCAGCGGCAGAGAGCAAAGCTGCGGACCATGCAGCAGCAGCGGCAGCGGCAGGAAGATTCATGTGCGTGTACAGGTGAAAGTAGATAGTACTAGCGTGCAAGGCTTGTTCTGCTCTAGGAGTTAATGAACTGGATCATGCAGAGTCTTGAAGAAAAAATGAACTTGATATCAAGCCAGACGTGACAGCCAGCGACATGTCGGTATTTAGCTGGTTTGATGGAGTATTTAGGCTCTGTTCGTTTCGTGGAGTTCCCAACTCCCCCATCTCATTTTCCGCGCGCACGCTTTTCAAACTGCTAAACGGTGTATTTTTTGCAAAAAGTTTATATACGAAAGTTGCTTAAAAAAATTATATTGATCCATTTTTGAAAAAAAATTAGCAAATAATTAATTAATCACATGCTAATGGACTGCTTCGTTTTCCGTACCGGAGGGATGGGTACCCAACTCAACCAAAAGAACAGAGCCTAGGGTGTGTTTAGTTGGCCAAAGAAAATTTGGGGTGCCACATCGGATGACCAGATGTCGGAAAGCGTTTTCGGACACAAATGAAAAAAATTAATTTTATAACTCGCCTGGAAACCGCGAGACAAATTTATTAAGCTAATTAATCTATCATTAGTATATGTAGGTTACTGTAGCATTTATGGCTAATCATAGACTAATTAGACTCAAAAGATTCGTCTCGTGATTTCCATACAAACTGTGCAATTAGTTTTTTCTTTTTATCTATATATAATGTTCTATACATGTGTTCAAAGATTCGATATAATGTTTTTGAAAAAAAAAATTGGAAACTAAATCAAGCCATACTAGTTTTGACTCTGAGTTGTCGAGGCTTTGACCATTTGGAAAATCTAATTAGATACATATCATTAGATTTGTAATCAATTGAACTCAACTGATTATATTAATTGTCTAGTAGTATTAAATTTAAATTAAATTTGTCTACTAGTAATTAGCAAGAGGGAGATAACTAATAGAGATTGAGTAAAGCTGGTGAGTTTTCAGGAGCGGAGGGAGCAATTTGCAGGTTTTTTTGGCTGTTCTTGTGAAACTACTGAATTTGTTTTTACGCGAGTCAAACAACTCAATTAGTATTCAACATGGAACCGTGTTAGTACTCAACAGGGAACCGTGTTAATATATAGGTGGCGTTTAGCGTAGTAGCGTACTACTGTACACTATTACTCTCTCGTTATCATCTACGGAGTACAGCTGCATGGCCATCCAGGTGGAAATCGTTGGGAATCGTTATCTTGCAAACAACTTCACCTGACATGTAAATTTAAAATTAATTGTTACCTACTCGTAGGTTCTTCTGTTCCTCATTTGACTCGTGACCTGCAAAGTTCAAAGCTATCATGCATTGTATATGCCCAATACCAAGATCATGATGGCCGGTGAACCCCTGTAGATTATTTGCAAAGTTAATCCGTGTCTATCGAGTGAAACATATACTATTCTGCTACACGCTATTCGCCTGTCAATTAGCTAGTAACTTTTCCCCGCAAAAAAAAAAAAGGTACTAACCTTGATACTTTATGCTACTCGTCTGCTTGATGCTAAACTGGTGCCTTCGTGCGAGGAAAACGTGAGTTGTCTAATATGCTACTTGCTACACTACTTTATTCTAAGTATCATGCTTAAATTAGCTAGAGCGATCATCGATGGGCTCGCCTTGTGGACGTCCACACACACCACCCCAGCGAAGATCCCCATGTTCCTAATCAATTAATTCCTGATTAATTAATTTTCCCATTTTTTCTTTCTCTTCATTTCGGACGGCCTTTCGGTTCAAAGTAGAGTCCTCCACTGCAGCAAATGATCGGCTATCGCCTCTCCACTTAAATCAAATCCCTTTAATTTCTCTTTACAGGAAAGATACGTTGTTGAGACCAGCAGCTAGCGGAACCGGCCGGACTTTTGCGATCGGATCTAGTTACAAATATTGTTTGATTAATGTATTACACGTGTGTTGATCTGTCTATTTGGGTATCGATTAAAATCTTAATGGCCAAAGATATATTTGGATCATTGGGTATATATGTTGTTGTAATCATATCATTATTAATTGAGACGACATATATTATTTTCTTGTAAATATATATGGAATATTCTGCATCCCCGCACTTTCAGGTTATAAAATTGTACTGGATTTCATAATCAGCTGTTAGCCATATAGTTACATGTATCATTTACATGTTCATGCTCCGTAAGTTTTCTAATATTCAAATTAGAGGAGAAAAAACAGAAATGGTAGAAATTCTGAGAAAAAAAACAACGATATCTAACTTTTAATCTGCCTAAAGTTTCTTACTTATCCAGAATCTTAATACTAGAGCACTCCGTATAAATACTAAGCAACGGACCCACAATGATAAGAATATATCTTACTTAAATAAGAAAAATAAATACCAAAGAAATCATAAATACTGATACTTATATAAAAGAAGTATCCATCGAGTTACAAGATCGGAGAGAATGCCAACAACTCTAACACTCATCCGAGATTCCAATGGAGAGAGTGCCAACATCTTCAGCACTTCTCCAGAACTCCCCTAGAAGGAATTCCGACATATGGTGCATTCCTTCCAGCGCTTCCCCTCACTCTCATCCTATACTCTAAATTCTAACTCTACTAGAGTGTAATCTAAATATGAAAGTGAGTTGTACTCCACTTGAGTTGTGTTGTGCTTTGAGAATGAAGTGATAACTCCTTTTATAAGCTCTAACGACGGTTACTATGGCGATAGTGAGGTCGGTTCACCCACAACCATCATAGGGAACCAATCAACATCCTCCACGTGGAAGGTGGGGGATGAGTGGCTGCAAGGGTGGTTTAGCCGAACCATGGTTCGGCCGACCCCCTAGCTCCACCATATCCCCTCTCCTTTGGCCTGGTCACTATCCAGTCCCCTCTCCTTTGGCCTGTTCACTATCCAGTAGGACCTTATGACAGTGCCCATTGGTTGACCCATTTTGAGGTGATTTGGTCAGCTTGTAGGCCTTCCATTCCGTATACATGCGTCTGATTGGCTGGAGCTGTGTTTCTTCGCATGGCGAGTGGTAATTTTCATACAAAATCCATGCATTCACATATTTCACCAATATTTGTGGAAATGATATTTCACCACTACCACTAAGTGTGATATTTTATTTCAATTGCTTTTATGCAGGAATTGGTGATCAGATTTGACATTTAAGGATCGTCAACAGGTTTTCCTCACTTCCACAAGGGAAGAAGTAAGTCAGTGAAACCCGAGCTAGTTTCTAGGAGTTTGCTTGATAGAGCAAGCTTCTCCAAAGGAAGGTCTAGGTGTTTTATCCTTGGACCTTGGTGGTTGGGAGATACCTATTAGCCTTTGGTCGTTCCTTGGAGACTAAAGTTTTTTCCTGGTTATTAGCTTGGTGAGGCAAGGGAACAATCGAGATCCTGCTCCTTGGAGTTCCTTGACATAGAGTATCTCTTATACCGAATTCCATGCGGATTCACGTGCAAATAGCCCCTCCACGTGGCATTGTGGGATTTCAGCTTTCGTCCCTCTCCTTAGCCGTCACATCGCGGATCTCGATGGATGGATATCGCTGCGGTGGACCTCATTCTAAAAAATGAAGTTTGAGGGGGTTTTTATGCAAAAGCGCTTAATTCCTACCCTTCCCGTGGCCATCCTCGGTGGGGCTCCTCCTCCTGGTTGGCTGGTCCTCGCCGCCAGCCTCCTCACCTCTCCTCCCCGGTCCGGTGCCCCCCTCTCCTGTTCCCCTCTCCGCCGACGGTAATAGCTCGGTAGGGTGACGAGCGAGGAAAATCTCGACGGCGGCAACCTTTCCTCCACCACTACCTCTCCCAACTCGCCGGTGAGGAGCTCTCCTCCCTCCCTCCCTCCCATCTACCGGCGAGGCCCTCTCCTCCCACGCGCTGGCGCGCCGCCCTCTTCCCTCCCGTGTCCTCCTCCTCGTCTCTGGATGGGGCGAAGAGCTCGGTGGCGGCGCGCGTGGATTGGGAGTAGCTCGGTGTCGGTGACGAGCTCCGGTGATGCCGCCACCTCTACCCTCAAGCTCGGCGGCGTCTGCGCATCGCCGCCCATCCACCTCCCTCCTTGCCGATGCATTCGACCCTGTGGGCCAGCGGTCGAGCTTGGCGCCACGCTCGACTGGGAGGGCCGGGCGCGGGGGCTTGGCTTCGATGTTGAGGTGCTCAATCCACTGGCGTAGCCGTCCTGTGCCTCACGCCCTCACCACCACCACCTCCATTCTCCCCACTGTCGCGCGATGATGACCTGTGCAATCAAGAAAGGTGGTAGGGATGCGACTAGCTCAAACCACAACAACGAGAAGGAAGTAGTAGAGGTGAGGTAGCTCTGCTTGTCATAGTGTCCTTGAAGAAACCAAGATGAATGGAATAGGAGGCTGCTGCTTGTCGTCCAATGTCCATCCGCAACCTGCTTGCTTGGAGCAGCCACCGCCGCCGCTACGATATGCTCGCTGTGTGTCATTACCGCCTTACCAGCAAGCAGTTCTGTAAGGTAGTGTTTGGTTGGATGGTTTCGGTGGGTCGGGTCGGGGCCATCCCTTTTTTTTTTTGGAGCTGTTTGGTTTGAGGATTAGGTGGGTTGGGTTGGTTAAAAAAGGAAGAGTAAATTTCATAGAACTACAGATACTTTGCACAATCTATCACAAAACTACAGATTTAAGAACTTGTTTCACAAAACTACAGATTCATTGTATTCATTTAACATAAAACTACATGTACTTTGCACAATATATCACAAAACTACAGATTTAAGAACTTGTTTCATAAAACTACAGATTTAATATCCTCATTTATCATAAAACTACAAGTTTAGTGTCTCTATTATCACAAAACTACAGGTTGTAGCATTGTAAAAATCTATAGTTTTGTGATAATGGATACAC